GAAGGCAGACGCTTAACGACTGAGCCACCCAGGCGCCCCAACCATGCTTAATTTCTAATCAAACTTTAACATTTACTAATTTAATTTTTTTTATAAGTAAAATAGGTATGTCTTGATATTTCCCCCTTTTAGGAAGCAGTTTATCTTAGAATATCCACAGTTCAACTGAAATATATATAAAGATGAAATAATAGTACCTGATGCCTTTAAAAGAAAAGATAATTTGGTAACTGTTGGTTTTTAAAATATGCATTTTATAAAATACTTAGAGTGTTACCAGGAGCTGCTTAATAACATTTTTGCACATATCAAAAGCTACTTTGTCATGTGGTTACTAGCTTTCCAGTTTTAAGCAGAATATTTTTGAATATAATTAATATTTTCACCGATAAGTTGATCAAGGATCCAGGACCCTGGGATCATGACCCGAGCCAAAGGCAGTGCTTAACTGACTAAGCCACCCAGGCACCCCTTTTAAATAAACTTTTTAAAACTGTTTATGCACTAGGTCTCCAAAAATGCTTTGGGATCCTCCTTCATTGCTGCAAGGAACCTCCATGCCTCTAACACTCGTCTTCAGAAGATTGGTAAGTCATTATTTCTAAGTCTACATACACCACACTTACTGCTTTGTCAATAAGGGAAAGAATAAGTTACATAGGTTACAGAACTGTTGTTTTTTTTCTTTTCTTTTTTTAATCCACTATTTTTTTAATTAATTAATTTATAGATTTTTAAAGATTTTATTTATTTTTTGACAGAGAGCGAGACAGCTAGAGAGGGAACACAAGCAGGGGGAGTGGGGGAGGAAGAAGCAGGCTTCCCGCTGAGCAGGGAGCCTGATGGGGGGCTCGATCCTGGGACCCCAGGATCATGACCTGAGCCAAAGGCAGTCGCGTAAACAACTGAGCTACCCAGGCGCCCCGTTTTTTATTTTCATTTGTTAATTTTTTTCTCTTAATTTTAGTTACTGTAAATCTCAGATTCTTTGCCTGTAATGTGCCATTTAGCCCTTTTTTCTTGGTAGGTTGTCTTGTTCTAGTGAAATATTTCTTTTTTCATGATACTACAGCTTTTTTTTTTTCTGATACAATAGCCCTTGGGTAGAAACAGAAAGTACACATATCAGGTGGTGGGCATCCTTTCTGAACTATGAAAGATTTCTTTTTCCTCTCTTAAAAAATATTAGAAAACAACCTTTATGTTTATGTTTTTTGAAGGTAATAGCTGCTAGTCTATACGTGGCAACCTATAAATCTGCACATTGCAAATAGAGAAGTGGGGAGGTGAGCATGGGAAGATTCTGTAGGTTAGGGAATTCCTTTGGGAATGTGTGAGTGGGGCTTTGAACTAAAGATTAAACAAGTGAATACATAAATCTTGCACACGCTAAGATGAAGAATAGTAAGTATTTGCATGTCTTTATAAAGGGAAAGATATTCATACTTTGTTAACGGTTGCTTTTAAAAATAGATTGCATTTTTGGGGTGCTTGGATGGCTGAGTTGGTTAAGTGTCCCACTCTTGATTTCAGCTCTGGTCTCCATCTCAGAGTCATGAGTTTATTTATTTATTTTTTTAAAAGATTTTATTTATATGTATTTGACAGAGAGAGACACAGCGAGAGAGGGAACACAAGCAGGGGGAGTGGGAGAGGGAGAAGCAGGCTTCCCGCTGAGCAGGGAGCCCGATGTGGGACTCGATCCCAGGACTCTGGGATCATGACCTGAGCCAAAGGCAGACGCTTAATGACTGAGCCACCCGGGCGCCCCTCAGAGTCATGAGTTTAAACCCTGCATTGAGCTTCATGCTGGGCGTAAAGCCTACTTAAAAAAAAAAAAAATAGATTGGGCGCCTGGGTGGCTCAGTTGGTTAAGCGACTGCCTTTGGCTCAGGTCATGATCCCGGAGTCCCTGGATCGAGTCCCGCATCAGGCTCCCTGCTCAGTAGGGAGTCTGCTTCTCCCTCTGACCCTCCCCCCTCTCATGTGCTCTCTCTCTCTCATTCTCTCTCTCAAGTAAATAAATAAAATCTTAAAAAAAAATAGATTGCATTTTTAAGCTTCCTGCAGAGTTTAGCTAAAAAGTCAGGTTTCAACTTCCTTAGATATTAATTCCTTAGATATAAATTTCTTAGAAATTAAACCAAATGAGTAGACGATGAAAATTCTTATTATAATGGTGTTGCTTAGTTTTATTAGCTTCTTACCTGGCTTACATTTGTCTTGTGAAATTTTCTGTCTATCACTTGGATTTGTTTTTATAGTAGTGGTAGATATCAAGCTTGAATAGAACCATGCATTTTACATTTTAGAATAATTTGGTTATTGTGATTATAAAACTTTAGTTTTTATGTTGTTGGTAAAGTGGGTTTTAAAAAGATCTTGAGACAAGGCTGTTTTTGCAATGGATTTTTTCTCTCAATAGGCACTGCCGAAGTGTCCTCTATCCTTGAAGAGCGTATTCTTGGAGCTGATACCTCTGTTGACCTTGAAGAGACGGGGCGTGTCCTAAGCATTGGTGATGGTATTGCCCGTGTACATGGGCTGAGAAATGTTCAGGCAGAAGAAATGGTAGAGTTTTCTTCAGGTTTAAAGGTAAAATGAGATTTTGGTGTTTTAGGATTGGTTTCTGAGTTACTCATTTAGTAATTCAGAGATTGTGCTAGTGTTTTTTGTATTTTAACTTTAAATCTCAACTTCAGTATTTAGTCATTATCATAGATTGTGAAAAGAATAAACTTAAGGGTCTTGGTTACCAAAGTTTTTACTTTAGGGACTGATGTATACATAAATTGTAGCCACTGGTGCCGAAATAAAAAAAGTGACTAAACCTTCAGCCAAATTCTAAGAAGTCTTTTTTTATAGCCATTAAGATCGTATAAAAGCATTAGATAACTTCCAACTAAACTCATTTCTGGTGGAAAGTTGAAAGTCATTGACTTTGTATTTCTTGTAAGAGTAGACCTATTATTGTTAAGCTAGTGGTATAGTTATCAGAAGCTCTCTGATGATGGAAGTCTCCTTCTTTCCATTAGGTTGAGCCTAGTTGGCCAGTGGGATGAAAACAAATGGTAGGAGTCATGGGTTTTCTGAGGAAAGCAGCATGATATCTGGGTGGAACAGGGGGAGTAGGATTACCCACTTAGCACACATGGGAAAATATAGTCTTGGTCCTCTGACTAGTGACCGGTATGGTAAAAGCCTTAATATGGAAGAATAATTAATAGAACCAGAAGTTTTCTCCATAGCTGTTAGACCTTGGCTAAAAATTTAGCCTCTCATATCTTCAGTGTTACAAAGCTTTGAAAGGTGAGGCTGAAATAAATGAACTCAGAGTTTCGTTTTTAACTTCAAAGATCTAAGAGTCTAGTATTGTCTAATAGGACTTTCTGCAATGATGGAAATATTTTACGTCTGTGCTGTTTAAGTATAATAACTATTTTACATGTGAGGCTATTGAGTGTGTACAGTGTGGAGTTTCTCACGCAGAGAAAGAGTGGGTGGTATGTAGAGATGCGTTAATTGGAGAGAAAAGTGTCTCTGACTTCCGGTAAGATGGTGTTAATTCAAATTTTAAGTAGCCACATGTGGTCAGTGACTACTGTATTGAACATTACCTGCAGTGATATTCCATGATACTCCTCTATTTGTTCTAAGTACTTCTACAGAGCTTTAATTACTGACCAGACTCAGTTCCTGGAATAACCTTTTTCCTTAGTAATGATTAGGGACCTAAAAATCTTCTATTTTGAATTAAAGTTGTAATGATGACAGATGACCCACCACTGTTACATTATGGCATTTTGTCCTTGTTTGAGTAGCTTTTAATTTCACTTTCTACTAACCTGATGAGTTCTCATTATAATTTTTTAAGCTGTTTGTGGTGCTACTCACAGATAAAAAGATGTAAATCAACTGTGTCTTAAAATTTCCAGTTGATCACTTTATTTCATGCTGATCACCCGGTTCAGAAGCCATTGACAAAAGAAATGCAGTGGAAAAAGCTTGACCTGTTCAGTTTCTTTGCTTCTTTTAGTTCTTTGAGGATGCAATAAAGGAGCATGTTAGGCTTATCATAATGTTGTCCTAAGATTATTCAAGGGAACATGTTGCTGTTTTAAGTCTTGATCAAAGAAGGTTGTTTGTTGTAAAAATACTTGAGTAAATCAGATCTAAAGTACAAATCTACTTTTTTATTTTTTTAACTAGCTGTTTTCATATCATGCAGTGTTGACTTATGGGAAGAAGTACTACTCAGGCTTCATGGGGGTTCAATTGTGTGTTTTGTGTAGGGTATGTCTTTGAACTTGGAACCTGACAATGTTGGTGTTGTCGTGTTTGGAAATGATAAACTAATTAAGGAAGGAGATATTGTGAAGAGAACAGGAGCCATTGTGGATGTTCCAGTTGGCGAGGAGCTGTTGGGCCGTGTTGTAGATGCCCTTGGTAATGCCATTGATGGAAAGGTACGTTTAACAGTTATTAGATGTGGTTGTAGCTATTAGATGTGGTTGTAGCTTCTAAGAGACGTCAAAACTGATTGTTCTGGGGGCTCCTTTTTATTGTATAACAGGGTCCAATTGGTTCCAAGACCCGTAGGCGAGTTGGCCTGAAAGCCCCTGGGATCATTCCTCGAATCTCTGTGCGCGAACCAATGCAGACTGGTATTAAGGCTGTGGATAGCTTGGTGCCAATTGGTCGTGGTCAGCGTGAGCTGATTATTGGTGACCGACAGACTGGGTAAAGCTTGTTAAACATTCTAAGTAAAATTTACTTGTGGAAAGATTATTTTTATGCTTGGAATGATAAATGCTTTGATTATAACGGAGAGAGAGGAAGGAATGTGATGAGGATTAGAAGTAGTATACTGAAATCTTAAGTTGAGAAATCCTTTGAAGTACTTACCAAGATTTATGTTTACTTTCTCTTTTTAAAGCAAAACATCAATTGCTATTGACACAATCATTAACCAGAAACGTTTCAATGATGGAACTGATGAAAAGAAGAAGCTATACTGTATCTACGTTGCTATTGGTCAGAAGAGATCCACTGTTGCCCAGTTGGTGAAGAGACTTACAGATGCAGGTATTAAAGAACTTCAGTCCAGGGATGCCTCGCTGGCTTAGTCGATAGAGCATGCGACTCATGGTGTTGGGAGTCATGACTTCGAGCTCCACCTTGAGGGTAGGGTTTACTTTAAAAAAAAAAAGGAAGAACTTTAGTCTCATTGTTCTCTGGGAGTCCTATTATTGCTAATCTTAGGATAGCGTCTGCTTAATGAAGGCTGGTTTTAATTACTTGCTAATGAACTGAAATTTCTAATGTAATTCAATAAGTAAAACAACAAAAACAAGTATAAGTATAAAACAACAATAAATGTTAGGGTTTTTGTCACTTTCTTTTAAATAGGTGCTGTCTGGCTCTGGTTAATCTGACTTTGGTAAATTATGTAGTAAAGCACTTAATTTTTATTATAATAGTCTCTAAAATCAAAATGTTGATAACCTTGAGAAACTTAAAATTTATTTTCTTCCCAGATGCCATGAAGTACACTATCGTGGTTTCAGCTACTGCTTCTGATGCTGCTCCCCTTCAGTACCTGGCTCCTTATTCTGGCTGTTCTATGGGAGAGTATTTTAGAGATAATGGCAAACATGCTTTGATCATCTACGATGACTTATCCAAACAGGTCAAAGGATACATATTTTTAGAATCTGTTTGTATGTTTGCACCACAATTGAAGGTGACAAAATTTAGCTTCTAGTAACTGACTTTATAATCCTCTACTGTACTGTAGGCTGTTGCTTATCGTCAGATGTCTCTGCTGCTCCGCCGGCCGCCTGGTCGTGAGGCCTATCCTGGTGATGTGTTCTACCTACACTCCCGTCTGCTAGAGAGAGCAGCCAAAATGAATGATTCTTTCGGTGGTGGCTCCTTGACTGCTTTACCAGTCATAGAAACACAAGCTGGTGATGTGTCTGCTTACATTCCAACAAATGTCATTTCCATCACTGATGGACAGGTATTTTTTGAAGATTAAAATAAATGTAAAAGCTTTGGATGATTCCAAGGCATTGGTTGAAACTAGTGTTGAACTGATTTGTTAAATGCCTTCCACTTTAATGTTTAGAAAAGTAAGGAGAACAGTATAATGAACCCCGCATACCTCTCACCCATTTCAGTTTGTTACCAAAAAACTTCATTTTTGCTTCATTTATAGCCACTACTCTTCTTCATCCTAGATAATTTTGAAGCAAATCTCAGAGGCCAAATCACTTCATCTGCATATATTTTAATAGAAATTTGTCATCTGTTTTTTTCTCCCCACATCTCTTAATCTTAGCAATAGAATATGTAAGTTGATATGTGCTGGGATAGATTGGAGGGGCTCTTTATGATGAGAAGACACTTAACAGTTTTCCTTGGAGATGTTGGGCTTCAGTTTTTTGGCTTAATTTTGAAAATAGTGTTTTTTTTTAAAGCTTGTTAGCATGTGTTATTTTCTGTATATTGTAGATCTTCTTGGAAACAGAATTGTTCTACAAAGGTATCCGTCCTGCCATTAACGTTGGTTTGTCTGTGTCCCGTGTTGGATCTGCTGCCCAAACCAGGGCCATGAAACAGGTAATTTGCAGCACTTCGTCAAGAAGGGATATCATTAGGCTAAAATCATAATGTATTTGTATAGTGCTCTTTGTCAGTGGGTTGAGTATCTTTGTGTTTCATGAGTTGACCATTTCTGTTTTTCAGGTGGCAGGGACCATGAAGCTGGAATTGGCTCAGTATCGTGAGGTTGCTGCTTTTGCCCAGTTCGGTTCTGACCTCGATGCTGCCACTCAGCAACTCTTGAGTCGTGGTGTGCGACTGACTGAGCTGCTGAAGCAAGGACAGTATTGTGAGTTCTTTCATGTCAGCCATGTGTGTACTGTGCATAAGCGCCTGGGAGTATCCCGCAGCTCCTTACAAGCTATTATAGGTCGTGTTCTTTCATTAAGGATACAGTGTTTTGAATGTGATTAATGCCTGTTGTACTTTCAATACAGTCTGTCGTCATTTGAATAACCAGGAAAACTTACTAAATATACTTAATACTTACCTTTTGAGAAGTAAACCTATTAGATCTCTTCCTCCCCCCCTTTCCTCCTTGGCTGTGAGAGAATGGAATTGGGCAGATTTAAAAGTATGTTAGTATTTTTTAATCTTGCTGTGAAGTTTCAGCAGATTATTTATATCTCAAATAGTATAAATGCTGCCAGATGATAAACAGTGCTTGTGGAATATGCCCACAGATTACACTTTAAGGCTTGCAAATACAAGGAAAAAACTGTTTCAGGGGGAGAGAAGTGGGAAAAAGTATTAATGTGGAGTTTGTCACAGAGAAAGTGAGAGTAGGTGATATGTAGAGACATGTTAATAATTAGAAGAAAAAGGTAAGTTTTTCTGACTTTGTTAATGTGGCATTTATTTATTTGAGCAACTTACTTGGCATTCTTTTGTTTTCAGCTCCCATGGCTATTGAAGAACAAGTGGCTGTTATTTATGCTGGTGTAAGAGGGTATCTTGATAAATTGGAGCCCAGCAAGATCACAAAGTTTGAGCATGCTTTCCTGGCTCATGTTATCAGCCAGCACCAGGCCCTGTTGGGCAGTATAAGGTATGAACACAATTGATGGCCTCTTTTTTGTAAATTTTAAGATAAGTCTTGTTAAAATTCTTTTGAAGAATCTTGTAGCTAGTCATTGAATTTTTGTTTAGGTCAGAACTGATGAACTGCTTTTCATTTCCAAATAGGACTGAAGGAAAGATCTCAGAACAGTCAGATGCTAAGCTGAAAGAGATTGTAACAAACTTCTTGGCTGGATTTGAAGCTTAAACTCCTGTGGATTCACATGAAATAACCAGTTATGGTTTTGTCGTCGTTTATTCTAGTAATCAGTTCCATTTGTAAAAGGATTACTCTCATACTCCAGATGTACAGAAATTACCTTAAAAATAAAGGTTCCGTATCGGTTGGTGGTTTTCTGTAGTCTGAGTGATTCTTTTAAAAGAACTGAAATTAATTTGAGGAATTAGTAAGCATGCTGAGCTCTTTGTAAGATTCTAGACTGCTTTGTGATTGATTAAAGAATTCATAAACTAGGTAACTGGATATGTGGCAGAGGTTACATTTGGTAATGTTGAAGAGTCTTGCTGGCTTCTCTGCCAAGAAGACTGTAGGCAAGAAAACGATAAGACAACTAAAATTCTCAAGGAAATGAAAAAAAAAATGCTAAGTAGAAAGATTGAGACAGGTTGAGAGTAGAATGATGAACATTTGTCAGTATCTTCTTATTGTTTAGTATTCTTTAACATACCTTTTATAAGCAGCAGTTTATAATGTAATCAAGCTGTTAGTTTTTATGATTAGTATTTTCGGTCTTATTTGGGAAATCTTTACCCTACAATATACAAAGATAACCATTTTTTACTAAGAGTTTTAAAGGTTTGCTCTTTTTACCTAAGAGCTTAATCCAGGTATTAGAGTTCTTGAGAGAAATACAACAGATAGGCTGAGTACAGAAAGATTGTAGGGGCTGGCAAGGTTGAAAGGGCAGTTGGACAGGCTGGAGACCCAGGGAAGAGTTGGTCTGGAGGCAGAATTCCTTCTTCCTTGGTGGACCTCAGGTTCTCTAAAGGCCTTCAACCGGATGAGACCCACCCATGTTATGGAAAGTAATCTTATTCATAGTATTTTAAGTGTTAATCATGTCTAAAACATACTTTCACGGCAATTAGACTGGTGTTTGGCCAAAAACGATACCATAGTTTAGCCATGTTTGAAGCAGAAGATTGACTGTCATTGGGCCCCCTGGCTGGCTCAGTCTGTAGAGACTTGATCTTGGGGTTGTGAGTTTGAGCCCCGCATTGGGTGTAGAGCTTACTTAACAACAAGATTGTCCCAATCCATCTGGAGTTATGTTTTGTGTAGAGGTCAGAAATCTTCCATCTTCATATCCAATTTTTAGCTCCATTTATTAAATGACTCCTCCATGTAACCTGCCATGACACCTGTGTTGTGTTTAAGTTTCACGTGCCTGGGTCTTTTCTGGGCTCTTCCTTTTTAAATTGTTAAGCAGGCATATACTTTCAAGAAAGAAAAGGCAAGACAGGAGTGTATGAGAAATGGAAATCCCTTGCTTGCCTACCCCCAACCTCTTCTACTTCCCAAAGGCAACTCATTTCTCGTCAGTTATTTTGTCAGCTCCATGTTGCAATTGTGCCACTTCCTTTTACGATATATGTGTAACCTATTGATTTCACCCAACGGATAAGAACTTTGTGCACACCTATACTACACATTCCACAATTTATGAGAAGATTATGATTTGGGATAAATTCCGCTCATGTGACTTCTTTATGATCTGATGAAAGCTGAAATGCTCATTTTTACCTATCTGAGCCTTGAGTATGGTCTTTGTATAGAATATTTTAAAGTAGGTCTGGTTTAATTGGTCTAATAAGAGCAGGACAATGTCTTAAGAGAAAACACACCCTAGGAGAAGAATTTCTGTGAATGGTCCTCTGGATTTTAGTTTCTACTATCTACTAGCTGGAGTAATTTGTTAAGTCCTTTAAGTCATTTACTCATCAAGATTAAGAATTGTAGAAGGGCCGCCTGGCTGGGTGAGTCAGTGGCGCACGTAACTCTTGACTTTGGGGTCATGAGTTTGAGGCCCACGTTGTGTTTAGAGATTAAGAGGCAGTGGTTGGGGAAAGGAAAAAAATGTGCTAGAAGATGACAAGAGTTTCCCTAAATCAGTAAAGTTCCCCCCCCAAAAATAGTTTTGCTGAGCTAGAGCCCAAAATAAGTGAACCAGGAGAAATAAATTGAGATTCAAATCTTATTTTTTAAGTCACTCAGAGACCAGCAAGTTGGGAGACCTTGCAGGCACCCAGCTGTTCTCACCAGATGGGCCTAAATATTCTGCCCAACGGCCCTGCTGTGGGGCAGCCAAAAGGGTGTCATAAGATGTGTTTTTGCACAGCTTATTATCTGAGAAATGTACTTGACCTTTGAAATTTGAGGTTTTATAGCTTTCAGATACGTATTTTAAAATCTATTTGATGATTATATATAAAGTCTAGTTCTGGAGAAGGCCTCTAATGTCTCAGCTCTGTAATCTATGTAAGAATATTAAGATAGGCATATCTTAACGTAGTGCTTAGTTTAGCTATTTATTGCTCAACTATGAGATGAGCACTAAAGAGGATACAAAATGAGTAACAGAACCCTCTTAACTTCCCTAGGGGATAGGGAGGACAAACGATAATATATTGTAATAACTGTAAAATGCTCGGTAATTATAGAAGTACATATGAGATGTGGTAAGTGACCAGTACAAAGTGCCATTTGGATTAAAAAATGTATCCCTATTTACAGAACTGGAAAAGAGTTCAGGAAGAATTGGCTTTGGCAAGAGGTAGACTAGTTATGAAAATACTCAGGCCTAAGGAAAAGTTGGAAGAGGAGTACAAGCAACACTCATTTACTAGTCATAAATATATGCCACTTGTTAATATTTTGATGAATTTGTTTTATTTTTCTGGGGAACCATTTGAGAGCAAGTTGCAAGCATCCTGACACTTCTGATATTTTATCTAAAAAATTTCAGCATTTGGGGGCGCCTGGGTGCCTCAGTTTAGTCAAGCGTCCAACTCTTGATTTCGCTCAGGTCATGAGATCAGGGTCATGGGGTTGAGCCCTGCATCAGGTTCTGCATTCAGCATGGAGTCTGCTTGGGATTTTCTCTCCCTGTGCACTTCCTCCCACTCCACCCACCCCAGTCTCTTAAAAAAAAAAAAAAAATTAGCATCTGCCCTAAGAATAAAGACCTTCAACTCATCTGCATAATAGAACAGTCTTGTTTTTGCAAACATCTCCTTTAATCTTGCTAGTGAGTTTTCTCCCCTTTGTGTCGACAGGCCCCTACCCTTCCCCTTAGCTCATATGGAGTTTCCTGTTGCCTCATTGTCTTCAGAATTCCGTTACCGTGTGGATTCCCTGTACATACACCTATTACATATGATTTTCTCCTGTTTAAAAGAAAAAAAAAGGACCATCTATATAGCCACAGTAACATACCTAAGAAAACTGATTCAATAATATGCAGTCCAGGGGTACCTGGGTGGCTCAGTCGTTGACCTTCGGCTCAGGTCATGATCCCAGGGTCCTGGGATGGAGTCCTGCATCGGGCTCCCTGCTCCGCGGGAAGCCTGCTTCTCCCTCTCCCACTCCCCCTGCTTGTGTTCCCTTTCTAGCTGTGTCTCTGTCAAATAAATAAAATCTTTAAAAAATAATAATATGCAGTCCATATAAAATCTTCCTATCTCCTGAGCATCTTTTATAATAGTATTTTTTTAAGTTTTTATTTAAATTCCAGTTAGTTAATATACAGTGTAATATTAGTTTCAGGTGTACAATTTAGTGATACAACACATACAATACCTGGTGCTCATGACAACAGGTGCACTCCATATTTTTTTTAAAACTATGTGAATATCGTGTTCCCCAACAACTTTTCATTGAATAGCTATGATTTATTACATTGAGAGGCTACAAAGCAAAATCAGCAATGGGCAAGTGCTCATGGAGTGATGTCTGGAGGAAACCAGGCCTAAACTTCCAAGAGTCCCTGCCCAGTGGAGTCAAGTGGGATGCACTTAATTCCTCCAGCAATGAATTGTGACAATATACGTGATGAGTACCAGGGAAGCTCATTAGAAGCTCAGTACCCAAGGTTTTTACCGGGATGGGACATGTAGGCATGCTCTGCCTAACCACATACAAAAATCCCACACTCCCAGGAGGAAGCAGGTGTTCAGCATAAAACACATTGTACAGTTTAGGCACAGTGAGCCACTCTGAGCCTTTAGGGACAGTTTTTTTTTTTTTTTAAGATTTTATTTATTTATTCATGAGAAACAGAGGCAGAGGGAGAAGCAGGCTCCCCACAGAGCAGGGAGCCCAATGCTGGGCTCCCTTCCAGGACCCTGGGATCATGACCTGAGCCAAAGGCAGAAGCTTAACTGACTGAGCCACCCAGGCGCCCCTAGGAAACTTTACCAGGCAAGTTCCCGGACACCAGCCACGGGCTAACTTTAAAAGCTGGCTTCTCTCAGGACAGCAGTCCAGGGCCTGCTATCTTAGTTCTTCTGCACGGGTATGACTCTGAGGCAGAGTAAGACCAACCAGCAGTACCCACCTCAGTCATGTTCCCCAGGAGCCCTGGAGTTAGCCGATGAATCTTATTAGCCATGGAGGTCTGTTTTATTTTATTTTTATTTTGATGTAGTGGTCAGTGATTCATTAGTTGCATATAACACCCAGTGCTCATCACATCACGTGCCCTCCTTAATGCCTATCACCCACTTCCCCTCCAGCAACCCTCAGTTTGTTTCCCAGAGTCAAGAGTCTCTCATGGTTTGTCTCCCTCTCTGATTTCTTCCCAGTTTTTCCTCCTTTCCCCTATGATCCTCTGTGCTATTCCTTATATTCTACATAGGGAGGAATATGATAATTGTCTTTCTCCGATTGACTTATTTCATTTAGCGTAATACCGCATGGAGGTCTGTTTTAGAACGCTGGCATCCTCAAGTTTCTGTATGAACCTTTTTGATTTGGCCAAAGGTACCACTTCAGGCCTGGCACAACTCTGGCTAGTAAACTGAAGCGGACCTCTTGCCTTCTTGTGCTGAGGCAGTATCATGATAGGACATTAGTGTGGTGTTATCTGTCATAACTAGTGACCCAAAATGGGTAGACTATGGATTACCGTCCTTATTTTACTGAGATTTCTTGTTTTGTTTTTACTTTCTATCTCCTCTACCCCATTGGATTTCCTTAACTTTTACCTATTGTCCTTTTTTTTTTTTTCTTAGATCTCATCCAGGATACCACATTATTCATGTCTCCTTAGGCTCCTCTGGGCTCTGACAATTTCTTACACTTTCTTGGTTTGTGGTGACCTTGACAGTTTTGA